CTAACCCGTAATTGACAATGAATTTTAAACTGTTTTTAAAAAAATATCATGTGTGAAGATTGTTTTGATATATTTTTTTTACATATAAAAATTCAAAGTATAAATAAAAAAGTATATACAAGCATCTAATTAAATAGATTAATAATTATTTATGTAAATAAATGAAGAAAAATCTTTAACAATAACCAAGTGAAAAATTAAAAAAACTAGACCTGAATGTAAATCAAGATATTCAAATATATATATATATAAGACATTCACCTGGTTGTATTTACTGAATTTATTTATTTACATCAATAAAAAATAAATCAATACCTTAAAAAACTCATGATTTAAAAGATAAATACAAATAAAACTGATTGAATAAACTCAAGTTTTTTTTAAAATATATCGAAAGGCTGGACACATTAACAATATTTTTTATTTTGGGAAATACAATTCATTTGTATAAAATAAAAAAATATAGATGAATTAGAATAATATATTAAAGAATCAAACACAAATAAAACAATTCTAAAAAAAACTTATATTAAAAAAAAAGCATGAAAAACTGTGGCCTAGACTATGAGATTATGATAACTTCATTAAAAAAAAAATGATGATAATCACAAAATCAATTTAAAAAAAAGAGCATAACGATAAGATCATGTGAAATTGAATCACCAATAATTAAATGTTGAAAGATGAAACCAAGAAAAAAATTAATTACAGAAAATGATCAAAATTAAAACGAGGATGACAAAATAAACTTTTAATTAGAAAAAAAATTAAACTTGAGGGATAAATTGAATTGCAAAATAACAACTTTTAGGGTGAAAAAAAATTAAATTTGAGGGATAAATTGAATTGCAAAATAACTTTAACAAAAGTAAGGAAAAATAAATCAAAAGAATGAGGGTCAATTTGTAAAACATAAAACAACAAAAATTTCTATAAAAATAACAAGAATGAAATAAGAAATTAAAAGAATGATGACGGGAAAAAAACAAAATATATGAGAAATTATAGTTGAAACAAAAAAAAAATTTATAACATAAATAATAACAAAATAAAAAATTTAAAAAATAAGGTCTGAAATTGAAACCACCACGGGGCTAACCATGTGAAAGAGAACACAGGGGCTCATTTAGAGAGACAACAAAAGGCAAGATTTGAGAGAGGAGAGGGAGTGATCACTGGATTCCAATGATAGATAAAAAAAAGTGTTATTGACACTGATTTAAGCTATCAAAATAAACTATATTAGTGTAAAACAATTTTTTTTGATAAGTAAAGTTTATATTAGGTGATTCTGTATCCTAAAGGTTCATGGAAAACATATCTGAGCTTTGGTTAAGTTTAATTTTTATGGTGACTTTTTGGGTTTTTTGAGGTCATATATAAGTTCATCACAATTCATACAATGTTTTATAGATATTTTAGGTAAAAAATAAATTAAAAATAAGTTTTTAATTAAAAAAACTTGAGCTCTGATTTTTTAATCATTATAGCAACCAAAATTTGAATAAATCAAATGAAGCGTTGTTTGATTTTTCTTTTTCAAAAAAATTTGTGACGGATGATATGCTATCTACTTTGATTGTAAAAAAAAAATTAAAAATCCAATTGCACGGGTTTAATAAAATAAGCCAGATGGGCTGAGCTAGCTAGCTTACTAAGTCTAGTCTTTTATATATATATATATATATATTATTTTATTTTATGTTTTTAATTTATATTTGAATCAATATCCTTCACTCTTTCATTTTATTTCTCTTTTTCATTTTATTTATAAAGCCTATTTTAAAGACAATTATTTTCTTAGCTATCCATTTAAATTTAAAGAATTTTTATGATTCATTTATGTTTTTTTTTAATCTTTTGTATGGATGAACCTTAGTTTTGAAAAAAAATAAAATATTTCTAATATGTGTAATCTTGTATGATGTTTTTTATTTTTTTAATAAATTTAATTTCTATCTCTGTTTTTATTATTGCTTGTTTAAATAAAAAAATTAACAAACACAATCAAGTAAATATCTTGTATTTGAATATTAAATATCTTGATTGATATTTGTCTATTGATTTTTCAAGTTTTATTTTTAGATATCATTAATAACTTTTTATTTATTTACACATATAATTTTTTATTTATTTAATTATATGTATGCTTAAATTTTTTAATTTGAAGTTAAATTTTTAAGTTATAACAATGCATTGAAAAAAATCTTTATATATAATTTTTTTACAGAAATAAAAATGTATAATTTATAACATAACACAAGTCATATAAGCAATGGTTTCTATTTAGTTTAAGACATGTATAAAAAAAACTTAATTTTTTACTGATTTATTTCTTTTATTTAATTCAAATCAATAAATTTAAGATTAATGGTGTGATCTATAACATGATTGATCATCTTCTCTTAGGATTACGTTTGAATTCAAATATTTTTTTCTAGTTTTGCAAAAACATATCTCCTACATATATGATTAGGATTATTTTCCATATAAATTAGCATTGCTAAAATATTAAATTTCTGCTAATTAAATATTGAATTACAGCTAAAAATGACTTTATTTCTATTTTAACGCCACATTTTTCCAAAAATATTTAACATTTTATATGACAAGAAGGTAGGATAGTATTAACGTGGAAAAAGGTCTCAATAATAGTTCGATGTAATTTCCTTAACTCATTTCAGATTACAAGCCAAGTGTATGTTGCATGTGTTTTTTAAAAATTTTAATTTTTTTTAATTAATAAATATTTTTTTTTATTTTTAAATTGTTTTAATATGTTGATATTAAAAATAATTTTTTAAAATAAAAAATATTATTTTAATATTTGTGGATGTTTTTGATAAATCTGCATAGTATTTTTGCCATAAAAACTGTAATTAGCAAAAATTTAATTTTTTTTAATATTTTTTATATATCAATATAAAAAATAAATTATAAAAATATTTTTAAATAAAAAACACTGTAAAATACAACAATTATTATAATACCAATTGAATTTTTTATCCTTTATTTTTTCCTAGGCCCCCGGCTTTGTTGGAAACCCATTTTACATATTTTATATTTACAAGGCAATACTATCTATAAAAAATATATATTTACTTCATTGATATTTTAGATTAGAATCTTGATATCAACGTTAAAAAATACTTCTTATTATCGAAATAAAAAAATATAAAAAATTTATATATGTATATAAATCATTATTAATTTGCCACAATGATAATTTATTAACAAAACAACCAATAATACGAGGTAGGTTTAATTGTTTATATAAATAATAAAAAAATTATATATTATTTTAATACATAATAGTATATTTGTATTGTAGCTTGGTCAACGTGTAGCGGTAATTACTAGAAGGTTGTTGGTTCCAGCTGTTGGTTTCGGGTTGCATTTTTTTTTTTAATTCCAAAAAATGGTTTTGTTTAATAATAAAATGGGCGTAAAAGAATTAAAAATATCTGTGTTTGAGAAGAAAGGCTAAAACCTTTCTAAACCTTCGCCCGCAGGATCAATCTATGGTTCATTCTATTATTTTCTTATGGCTTTCTTTCCTTTCATTTTTTAAAAAAATTTATCCTATTTTTTCCCTTCAATTTCTTTTCTGTTAATTCCATTCTTTAACTTTTTTTATCATATAATTAAGAATTATTTTTTAAAAAACAAAGTTATCAAACCTTGTTTGGTGTATGACATGATTTACGGATTAAATTGTTAAGTCCGGATTAATTTAATGTATTATTTTTTTAATATTTTTTAAAATATCATATTAAATTTATTTAAAGCATACTTATTTATCTTGAATTAGTCTTCATATTATATTTTAGTTTGGTTTTTTTATAATTATTTTTTTATAAAATTATCACAATTTTATGATTGAAATTGTAGATTTAACAGGTTAACTTAAATTAATATAAACCGATATAAACCTCATTTATTTTTATATTTTAAAAAATAATTTTTTTATTTTTCACTTTAAATTAATTTTATTTAATATTTAAAAATCTTTTTGATGCATTGATGTTAAAAATAATTTTAAAAAATAAAAAAACATTACTTTGATATATTTCTTAACAAAAAACACTTTAAAAAACAACTATTACCACACACTCAAACACTCTTATATTATATATTATTTCAATATTTTTTTAAAAAATAACACCATCATGATATTTTTTTAAATCCAAAACATGTCTTTTTATTGTACAAGATGCATTCAAAACCCAAGTGCTTAAACCTTTTTTTTTATTTATATTTTTATATTTTATTTTTTTAGTTTAACACTATAATCATAGTTTTGCAAATTTTTGATTTATTTTTTACTTTAAATAATATTTTTATATTTTTTAAATTATTTTGATGTATTAATGTAATAAATAAATTTTAAAATATTAAAAAAATATGATTTTAATATATATTTAAATAAAAAATTCTTTAAAAAAATAGTACCACTTTCTTAAGTAGGTCTTGGTCCTCGTCCTATTAGTCGTAGAACGGCGCTGTCCTATTCTCGAGATGTAGATGGCCTTTGCATTATAAGACAACGAAATAAAAAAAAAAAAAAACAAAATGGAATCGCAATTTCAATATAACCTATGCAAGGAAGGACTAGTATTACAATTAATCACAAAAGGGAATTAAAAATTAAAAGTAAATATATAAAATAAGATAAAGGTGTAAATTTATTTAATAAGACATGGTCATGTCACACGTGCAGGTTTCCTAGGTTTATGCCGTACAACAATTTTGCATTATTTTTTAACTGTTTTTTTTCTGTTATCAGAGTAAGAATGTATATACATGTATGTACCAAACACATTTATCATCCTTCGTTATAAATTCTAAGAAAATCAAAACACATTTATTTTTTTATTAATCTTAATTTAAATAAACATATTTAAATAATAAACTTACTTCAATTAAAACTATTTTTTATAAATAATTTTTTTAAATTATAATCTTAAAAACTATCAACTATCAAAATAACGATGGCTACATGCTTTTGCTTTGGGGCGCGGAAAAGAAAAAAAAGAAAAACAGAAGACACTCTCTTCTTCTATAAATTCCCCCCCTGCTCTTACTGCTAACATGTATATAATGGATACTGCAGGGAATTTGAAGACATCAAGCATCGAATTAGACCTGGACCGTCCCAATATCGAGGACTACCTTCCTTCTGGATCCTCCATTCCGGAGCCTCGGGGCAAACTTCGTCTGTATGAATTCTGTCTCAAATCTGTTGATCCGGGTTCTGTTTTTTTGGCTACGCTTTGATTTCAAGTTCTGTTTTTCTAGCTGTTTCAGAGCTGTAAAGATTTGATTTTTAACAGGGTTTTGCTTGATGGTCTCTCTGGTTCTTGTTCAGGCGTGACTTGCTTGATATTTCACCTACTCTGACGGAGGCAGCTGGTGCCATTGTTGATGTGAGTTTCATTCAATTTTTTTTTTCAGAGAAAATGTGCGACGCAAAATGTTTTTTGAATGGAAAGAAAGGAAAATTATGTAAATTCTGGATGAGATAGTGTTAATCATGGATTTTATACATGCAGTGGCATGGTTACATTGTTTTAGTTAGCTGAAAATGACCTGTTTTATTGATTCAAAATAATAGGCTTGATAAGGAGATTTAGAAGAAAAGTTTTAGTTTTTTCTATGAGAGTTTATATATTAATTTTACTCATGTTTAGATTAAACTCAATTTTGAGAATGAATGAATTACGACTCATTTACATGATATGTCAAATTTTTTACTGAATGCAAAGAGGGGAATTTGGGCATAGTTTTAGATGAAAGAGGTGTTAATCATGATAAAAAAAATAAAATAAATCTTAACGGAATATTTATTTTCAAGTTTGGTCTCTCTCTTTTTTTTTGAGTAATTTTCTGATTAACTTTAGACCAAAGAAGCAATATAAACATGCAACAGTATAACTAGCTAGGTTTTGCTCATTGAAAACTACCAGATTTTCTTGATTCAAAATAATCGGCTCAATAAGGAAATTCAACCCCATTTGGATTAAATTCAAATTTAACAATGAATGAACCAGGATTCATTCACACGATGTTTCAAGTCGAATCCTCCAGAACCATGGAACTGGAATGTGTATTTGTTTCCCCTTTGGTGCAGCGGTGTGATGATTCGGTATGGGATTTTGTTCCCTGTCAGGTTAGTTATCTGCTGACTACAATATTTTCTATATATATCCAGAGGGTCACTAAAGTGAAGCTGGGTCTCTGTGCCAATTTGGATAATTTGAGTTCTCATTTTGATTCTTGACTTTATGGAGTTTTAAAATGTCATAATGAAGAGATGAACCGATGTTCTTTATTTGCTGCTCGTTATCTTTTTTCAAATTTATGTGTCCCCTATGAAAGTCTGATTGATATGATGGTTTATCTTCAAATAAGTTGCTACGGTGAACTCTCGTTCAATCTAGCTGGTTGATGTATTTTAATGAAATCTTCAGCAAATTTTTGTGTCCCCTACGACAGTCTGATTGATATGATGGTTTATCTTCAAATAAGTTGCTACAGTGAACTCTTGTTCAATCTAGCTGGTTGATGTATTGTAATGAAATCTGCAGCAAATTTTTGTGTCCCCAACGACAGTCTGATTGATATGATGGTTTATCTTCAAATAAGTTGCTACAGTGAACTCTTGTTCAATCTAGCTGGTTGATGTATTTCAATGAAATCTGCAGGGTTCTGGTACTGATAATTGGGTGGATTATTTTTTTTTCACCCTACATTCCAGTGCATTTTCTGCTGAAAGGGCACGACAAAATGAGAAAAAAAATAGAGGTGTCGATCATTTATTTGTTGAAGTTCGTATACTTTCTCAGAGTTATATACATGTATATTAGAGAAGACAATTGTGAAAATCTGGTTTTTCTATATTTTAATGTTCCAAAATCTCTAGAAGTGGTTATTGCAAACTGTGCTGAATGTATTCCATATTTTTTAATTTATTCTCAGAGGTGTTTGTTGGAGTTAATTTGCATGTTCTTTGTTGCTTCATGGTTGTCAAGTACCATGGACCACGACCTAGCATACGGCCTAAACAGACTGGAGTTGTCAAGTACCACGGACCACGACCTAGCATACGGCCTAAACAGGTTCGTTTCAGTATAAACTTTTTTGATGTATTTATGTCTAATAGGTTTTAATTTTTTCACTTATCAATCTTTTTTCTTTTTGATCTGAGCATATCCAATAATTTTATTTATACTCACTTATTAGCATAAACTTGCTGCTGAACAGGTTTTTGTGAGCAATCATACTTGATTGATTTCATTATCCTGGAACAGATGACTGCATTTGCTTCCATGATTGATTTCGTTATCCTGGAACAGATGACTGCATTTGCTGTGATTATGCAGAAACACCCTGGTTGGGTTGGTAAGTGAGAAATGGCTTCATATGTATTTCAGATATTTGATCCAATTAACAGTTACATCCTGAGTTATATGTCTGTCAACAAATATCAAAGGATCCCGGAATTATGTGTAACTGATAATATTTCACAAGTACAATTTTGAAGGAAGAAATAATGCAATCCCAGCTCTTATACTAGTTGTTTTGCTTCAAGGCCTTTGTGGTGGTTGTTTATAGATAGCAAGAAATGTGGTGGCCAAGCTGAAAGGATTGTCATGTAGTATAGCATAGTGTATTTATTAAATTGAATGGTGGTTGCTCTAAATGCAGGGCTGTTGCAAAGCACAATATTAGAGAGTGCAAGATGTATCTGGTTCAATCGTGCAGAGGCAAAGGATCGTGAGATTGTAGCAAAGAAGTAGGTGTAAATGCTGGTGTTAAAATTACTGTTCTTGAAAATGATGTTCTCTTCATGATCATATGGAGTTGTATATTTCAGGTTAAGGGATCATGTTCAGGAAGCTGACAATAACCCTCTTCTCATATTTCCAGAAGGAACTTGTGTAAGTAACCATTATACTGTGATGTTTAAGAAGGTATGAATATTCAACATAAAAATTATTGCTTCTTTAAGCTTGCAATGCATGTTTTCTGTAACTTATATTGTTTGATGATGTGCAGGGTGCGTTTGAACTAGACTCTACTGTTTGTCCAATCGCAATCAAGTACAACAAAATTTTCGTAGATGCCTTTTGGAACAGCCGAAAGTAAGAAGCTTTTCTTCCAATGACTGTCTTTTATGCATATCCCAACATAGCTTTTCTTCTATTGACTGTATTTTGTATATATCCCTGCATTTCCTAGAGAGTATGCATTTTTCAAAATGGGAGGAGGTTGGGGTGTTTTTCTGGTCGAGAAACATGCTTAAATGTCTCATTTGCAGGCAGTCTTTCACAAAGCATCTGTTGCAGCTGATGACATCTTGGGCTGTTGTTTGTGATGTGTGGTACTTGGAGCCCCAAAATCTGAGACCTGGAGAGACCCCCGTTGAGTTTGCAGAGAGGTATATACATTCTTTTCCACCCTTTCTGTATTTTCCATTGACGTGTGTTTTGTAAAATTCCTAATAATAAATTTATTTGGTTCAATTCCAATGCATTTGTGCAGGGTCAGAGACATTATATCTGTCCGAGCAGGTCTCAAAAAAGTTCCTTGGGATGGATATCTAAAGTATTCTCGCCCTAGCCCAAAACATAGAGAGCGCAAGTAAGCCAAACACCTTTCCTTGTCTTTCGTTGTCCTTTTTGTTTTATGACACCTCATAGTCACACTTCCACTCTGATATTAGCTTTTGCATATATGCATCGCAATATGTTTATAACTTGCATTAGTTTTGCCCGGCAGCATAATTTCCGACTATGGACAATAGAAAGGATGATGCTTACCAGCCTATGATTATGTTTTTCTCAGTCTCTTGGCATTTATACGGGCATCGTTTACCAAAAGTGTTCTGTATCTACTTGATTCTGTTGGTTGTGTATCTCTGAGAATGGTTGATGACATGCATCTCCTGTTGGCACGTATCTTATTTGTATTCTGTATAAATCTCCGATCTCATTCCCCCTATGCATTTCAGGCAACAAAGTTTTGCTGAGTCAGTACTACGGTGCCTGCAGGAGAAGTGATGTATATTTCTGCGTTTTTTCCTTTCTTTGTTGTATTTATCCCAGAAATTGCTCCCGCACTTCTCTCCACATCTCATTGTTCAAATGTAAACTGTGATCTTTATCAACAGTTAAGCTGTGGGTATGATTAAGAAGCAATCTTGGAGAAAATTCCATATTTATCACTTTCTAGGTCTTGCTTCGGTAAATTCACCAAAATGTTGTGAAAAGGCTCAAGTCTTATGTGTCTGGTTCAATTTTACTTGGTCTTCAATTTTCATATCCATTTCTCGCTTCTTGCCTCCAAGGTTCGTTCTACAGCGAAACCGATCCACACTTTCTGGATGATCGGATGCCACAGTTTCCAGTCAATGGATAATGAATGTATCAATACTTTCAACAACATCGTGGAATTCTTGAGAACCTACTATCAAAAAAAAAAAAAAAAAACTGTTTTGGGAATCTCTGTATCCGTTTCTTTTTTCTACATGTTAGAGATAAACCTTTGCCTGTCAAAAGAGGATGATACTGAAATCAAGCATTGACTCGGTGGACTGATAATGACGGTCTTCACAATTAACATTAACCAAAAAATAAAGAGGTTTTTTTTTTTTTTTAACTGTATCTCTCTTTAAAGTACTATTTATTCAAAAAAATTTTAATCAATAATTTTTTTTAAAAAATAAATCTTATTTTTAATATTATATTTATTTGTTATTGAGCTATTTTATTTTCATTATACGAATAATAGCTTTGACACAATCCATTCATATAATTTATATATATATATATATACACCCCACGAACAAGATTAATATAAATAAAGTCCACATATCATATTATAAAGTCTAGAAAGAAAGGAGATGCTAACATGTAATAAGAACATCGCTCACATATCATATTATAAAGTCCGGAAGGAAATGAGGTGCTAACATATAATGAGAGAATTTAAAATATAACATAAGTATTTTAAAAAGTTTCAAAAGGATTAATTACAAGGTAACTAAGGAGTTCTGATTCATATATTATACTAGAGTTTACATAACTAACGTACTACACACAAAGGCGGAGTGAAGGGGGGGCAAGCAAGGGCCCGAGCCCCTACAAGACTTTTCTTTTTTAATTTTGTAATTACATGTAAAGTGCTATAATAAGCTATAGAGTGATAAAAAAAATGCCTACGTGGATTGAAGGATGAAAGCTTGAAGATAGAGAAAATTCGACTTTTCCAAAGAATTACAAGTAATAGGCTACAAAGTGCCTATGTGGAAAGAAGAAAAATATAAAGTGATCAATGTCTTTCTTGGTCTTTTCCCTGCCTATAGGTTTCAAAGTACAACCCTAATATAAATAGTTGTAAACACAGCTGGTCAAAACAAAAACAAGAATAAAAATGCACATCACAAACATAATTTTTATGTGGAAAGATTGAAGCAGATTTGTTTAATTTATCTTCCCGGAAACAAAACAAGGTAATTGAATATCAATAACTCAAATTTAAAATATATTTTTATTTTTATTTGAGATATTTATTAAGAATTTGATGAGATTATTTTATAATTTTTACTTTTTTAAAAAAAGTTTGCTAGTTCTAACAATTGTTTTTCGAATTCTTGTTATAGTGATTTTTTTTCTAATTAATTAGATATATTTTATTGGTTTGTTTTGATTATGCATGTATTTTTTTTATGTTTTGTTTTTAGCAGAGCCACCAAAATTATCAATTTTTTCTCACGATACATATTTTGATTTTAGGTTGAACCATGAGCAAAATAAGAAGAATTGATTCTTTTTTTGAAAAAAAAATATTGATAACTCACAGCCTAGTGAACCAACTTCAAGTAATGTTGAAGTTATGGTTGAGCAACCTCAATGTACTTCAGTTTACAAAGAACCTGCACTGATTAGTGAGCAGCCTTTTACTAGAATCGACATTGCTCATTTCATTAGAGATCCAAGCAACCGTCCTCAATTTTGGGAATACCTGGTTAATCAACAAGATGAAATTCGAAGGGCATACATTAATTTGGGGCCATATCAACCTTTGATGTCTAAATATCCGCTGACTGGTAAAAAACATCCTCGTCGATTTCAGTCTCATTGGTTCAAAAGTTATCCGTGGCTTGAATATTCAGAGAAAAATACTGCATTTTGTTTCCCTTGCTATTTATTTCCAAGTAAACCATATGGAAAGCTAGGATCAGACACATTTACTGTTAAAGGATTTAATTGTTGGAAGAAAGTTAATGATGGGGAACGATGTGCTTTTTTGACTCATATGGGAAAAGGTCCAAATTCAGCTCATAGATTTGCTACCAGGTGCTTAGAAAATTTAAAAAACCAGTCATGTCATATTGAGAAGGTAGTTAAGAGGCAAACTACTCAAGAAATTTAAAATAATCAATTACGTATTAAAGCTTCAATAGATATTGTTCGTTGGCTCACATTTCAAGCATGTGCTTTTAGAGGACATGATGAACGTCCATAATTAAAAAACCGAGGTAATTTTCTTAAAATGATGGAACTTTTAGCATCACATAATGAACAAGTAGGTGCTCTTATTTTGGGTAATGCTCTACAAAATGCTAAATACACCTCACATTAAATTCAAAAAGAAATTTTGCATGTCTTTGCTAGAAATGTTCAATTTTCAATTCGTCAAGAGATTGATGATGCAAGATTTTGTTTAATTATTGATAAAGCTCGAGATGAATCTAGAAGAGAGCAAATGACCCTTGTTATTAGGTTTGTTGATAGAAGAGGATTTATACGAGAACGATTTTTGGATATAGTTCATGTCAAAGATACAACTGCTGCAACTCTTAAGGAAGAGATTTCCTTTGTTTTATCCCATCACAATCTTGATGTTCAAAATATTAGGGGTCAAGGGTATGATGGTGCCAGTAATATGCATGGAGAATAGAATGGTTTACAAGCTTTATTCATCAATGATTGCCCTTATGCATATTATGTACATTGCTTAGCTCATCAATTACAATTGGCTCTTATTGCTGCAGCTAGAGAAATATCTGATGTTCACATTTTTTTTTCAGAATTTGATTTTTATTATTAACATTGGTAGTGCTTCTTGTAAGTGTAATGATGAATTACGGGCTTTCCAAGCAGTTACAATTGAACATTTAGTTGATATTGGTGAGATTGAAACGGGTAAAGAAGTTAATCAAGTAGGTGGTTTGCAACGACCTGGAGATAGTAGATGGAGTCCGCACTTCAAATCAATTTGTAGTTTGATAAAAATGTATGGGGCAACTTGCTTGGTTCTTGAAAATATTGCTTTAGATGGATCTACTTATTCTAACGTGGTGATGCGGCTTTTTCATTTAAGTTGCTAATGTCATTTGATTTTGCATTTATCTTACATATAATGAAAGATGTTATGGGAATTATTGATATGCTTTGTCAAGCCCTGCAACAAAAATCTCAAGACATTTTAAATGCTATGCATTTGGTGACTACCACAAAGACTTTAATTCAGAAGTTAAGAGATGATGGTTGGAAAACTCTCTTGGAAGAAGTGACATCATTTTGTAAGCATCATGACATTGAAGTTCCTGATATGGATGCTTGTTTTTCTAGTGTGGGAAGATCTCGTCGTAAACAAAAATCAATAACAGTTGAACATCACTACCGAGTTGATATATTTACAACTATCATTGATCAACAATTGCAACAGCTAAATAATAGGTTCAATGAGCAGACGATCGAGCTTCTTAAGTTAAGCACAACTTTAGATCCTAGAAATAGCTATAAATTATTCAATGTTGAAGACATATGCTTACTTGTTGACAAGTTCTATCCTCAAGATTTTTCTGACCAAGAAAAAAATTCATTTGAGACTTCAGTTGCAGCATTATGAGCTTGATGTACCCAATCATCCAAAGTTAAAGAACATGTCATCGATTGCTGATTTATGTCAAGGATTGGTTGAAACAGAAAAATCAACAATTTATCTACTAGTTGACAGGTTGATTCGGCTTATTTTAACTCTTTCTGTTTCGACAGCAACTACTGAACGAGTTTTCTCAGCGATGAAGATTGTTAAAACAAGACTTTGTAATCGGATGCAGAATGATTTTCTTATAAATTATTTGATTGTCTACATAGAAAAAGAAATTGCTGAAAGATTCATAATTGATATGATAATAGATGATTTTTATTCTATGAAAGAACGACAAACACAATTAAAATAAAGATGTAAGAATCATTCTTTATGATTTTTTACTTTATTTCAAAGTTTATCACAAATAAATAATGTTTCACTTTAGCTAATGTTTTTTATATACTTTGTATGTTTATATTTGATAGGTATAAAGACCAACAACATTAAAGTGATGGATACATCATAAAGATAAAATTAACTTCATTACTTTGACTCAATTTGATATTACTCCAAACCTTTTTACCTTATACAAATGTCATTATATGTTTGTAATAAGTTATTTGAATAAAACTAAATCATGCAGGTTTTTTTTTACAACTCATATATAATAAATTAAAACAAATATTATATCTTATTATATTATTTTTGGCCTCCCCTAACAAATAATCCTAGCTCCGCCCCTGACTACACGTTGAGCTAAGATTTTTGTATACATCAAAGTTTACACAAAAGCATACTGCATAGTCTAGTTAATACTATTATGCTTAAGCTAAAGTTTTACATAAGCTTAGCAAAGAAGAGTCCTAAAACTAATAAGCTCTCTGGGTATTAGAAGGATCTGTTACAAAAACAACTTAATAAACATACAATTATATTAACAACATAAATAAAAAATGATCATATAATGAATACAATTAAAGCATAAGTTTTCTATTAGCTTCCTAGAAATTCTAATAATGACCCTATAAATTTCTTGATAATCATTTAAAACTCAATTAGACATTATTTACATATTCTTAATTAAATACTTTTATTTTCTTATATGAACTTAGTAACTTTATTTAATTGGGTTCACTAAGTCTTCAACATTGCATAGTCCAATATGGACAACTTTGGAAATTGTACATATTAAATTTTCTTAGGTCAATCAAACACGAATATCCTTTACGAATTGATTCTTATTGATCATTCTCAAATGTCGTAATATGGACACCGTTAGCCATACTATTCTTATCGATCACTTCTCGGCAATCTTAATACAATTGCTAGTAGTCGAAGCTAATCTTATTAATCATTCCCGATAGTCCTAACACAGATGCCATTAACTAG